ATTTGTACAGTAGGCTCCGAGGAATTTTAGATACTCACTATAATTTTTGTAGCTCCAGAATAATTAGTTTGATAAATAGATAATGATGACCTATTTCGAATAAAGATTAAATCGATAAAATGAAATAAAGAAACACCTTGGGTTTTGTATAACTAAAACATTGGTTAGGAAGCAACGCCTTATTCGACAACAAGGATACGTAGACCAGCGTTAGAGCTATCTCGTTAGCTTGTGAGGCGTGATCGGATTTCTAAGCATTTTGGCTGTCGTTGATTATTTACATCTATGCATTTGCATCAATGCATATCATATAGGTACGATGATGGATCAACGGATCAATTGAAGGATGATTGGGAATCGAAGATGGTGTAATGGTATTCTCTCTAGGAGATGATGCAATGGGCTTTCTATTCAGTTGATGGTGGATGATCTGAAGATGCAGATACTAACTTAGAAATACACTACTGAATTATTATCACTTGGAAAATATAAATGGTGGAAAGGAAATTGGTGATCGGGCAGGAATATGGTTTGGGTATTGGTGGGTGTAAGAGGTTGTGTCGCCGTGAACGCGGGGCATAGCTTAGTTACACTGCTTTCCCTGTCTGTGTCGGTTAAGGACCGGTCGTTGCATAAGACTCGAGGCAAGTCACAGACTTATTATCCCGAGCACATACTTGGGTATGGGCGCTTGGAAGACTTGTTGCTCTCTTGTCGTGGGTTCTGGCTCTTTCTGGACCGACTGTCAGGGTTTCTTTTTGGTGGAGGAGGTCCTTGCACCGCACTGACTCTAGGACTCAGGGGCGGGGGCTTGGAGTCCCAGTTTGGATGGGACCTAGGAACCCAGGACAGGAGGGTGATGGGTTGGTCCTGCTTGTGCCTTGGGTACAAGCGGGGTGTGTGTTTTCGGGGTACCCAGCTAGGGGCATTGATTCGCGAATCGCCGGGCGATCCGGTACGGCTTGTTTTGTGCCTAGCACCGTAGTAAGAACTGAAAGATGAAAGGTGAAAATGAAAAAAAGGAAATCTGATTGCTTACCACCTGCTTGAAAGTAGCACAGGTGCTTACATAGAATGGTTAGTTAATGAACCAATGCGGCTATTAATAAAAATCAAATATAAGGACGCGTGTTTAGTAATGCTTCCTACAAATGCAATAACCCACAAGCCAGATAGCCTTACATATCCTTGGAGTCTTTTCTTTCCTCCTGTCGGGTAAGTTTTGCTGAGTACAATTGAGTACTCAGGGTTTTATTCCCCCTGTTGCAGGTGACAGGTGGATGCTATAGCTAACTCTTGTGTGTGGATTACTCTTGGTGGGCTCAGAGAGGATTTCCTTTACGCTGCTATCATAGTTTTTTATTTATAACTCTCACCAAATGTTTTATAAAGAAAAGTTTTATAATCTGTTGTCATAGTTTACATATCAATGTTTCACCATGCCATGGATAGATGATTATTTCCGCTGTAATTCTGATCTCATATTTATATTCCGTTGTCAATTTAAAATTGTTCATAACTCTAATAATATGATTACATTTCGTTGTTATAATAATAAATATTATACTCTGATGTTATTTTAACAGTGATGTATGAAATAGTTAAGAATAATGTAAACTTTATTATCTCATTTGTGATCCTGATGGCAAAAATATGGATTTTTGGGTTCTCTCCTGTGGTGTGCCCGACGGAACCGAGTAATTTGGTGTTCTCCCTTGAATGCTTAGTGTCTAATGGAAGACGAGCACTACTGGTTGGCATTAGAATAGGCGGTTCTGCCACACAGCGTTCGCGTCGGTGTAGGCCCGCATGACCTTCACACCACTCCAGGTCTCCCAGCCGGCTCCTATGTGGAACCGGGCTAGCCTCGTCGCCGCGCTCAACTAGATGAATCTCCAGGATTAGCATCCCTGGTTGTTGGACTCCGGTGCTTCCTCTTACATGAGCTCCTCGGGCATTGCTATAAGAGAGAATACCTTCTCACACAGGCCGAGAAAACCCTGAACCCCTGTCCCACCCTGACACGGGGGCACCGTTGCCCTTTGAGAACTGGGCCGGGCCTTTTCACGTGTGCTTTGACCGTGGGACAAACGAGAGGATTTTTTTATTTAACCCTAGCCTGAATTTCGCTCCGGGAGTTGAACTCGGGACCTGAGGAGTGCCGCCGAGACCATCTAACCAGTTCCGCTAGGCACCCTGTGGTATTGCTAAAGCCATATCAAAATTATAGCCCTGTTCGCTTCGCTGAAAAAATAAGCCGAAACACTGTTCCGGCTGATTTGTTGTGAAAGAAAAACACTGTTCTGGCTGAAAATTGAAATTTGTTTTGTGAAACAAGACTCGAAGTTGGTACAGTAATTAGCACCGTGAATTTTGATATGGCTTTTGATCTGTGTTCTATGAATTTTCTTTCAGTAACTGAATATACTCTAGTTTAATATACTTAGTCTGCAATCGATGGAAGATGGAAGTTCCCTATGCAGCTGGAAATACTCCTTGCCAGTGATTCAGTTAGTTGGTACTACCCCGTCCATCCCAAAAAGATACAATACTAGGTCCTTCCGAAGTCAAATTATATACCTTAAATTTGACTAAGTTTATATAAAGTATTATTAGCATGTATGACTTCAAATGTATATACTGTGAGTCTGTGGCATGATGAATCTAATAATACTTATTTAACATAATAAATATCTATCTTTTTATATAAATTTGATGAAACTTCAAATCGTTAGACTTAGCACTATTCTAGAATTGTATTCTTTCTGAACCGGAGGGGGGTATGTTACTGTCATGGAAAAAGCAGCAACTTTTTTTTTTATGAGAAATAATCAGATTACTGATAGTGGGTTTACAGTATACGTCTGAACATTTTTCCACTGAAGAGTGACTTGCCAAATAATGTCTCATCTTTTCGACCATTTTTATCGTAAGTTTAGGGTATTGGGATGCCCTTTGCAACCACTTCACAGCCCATGGGAAGAGTAGACATATCTGTAGAAGGAAGCACCAGGTACCAGAGCTGGCTTGCGTTGTTAATGAGGCTTAGGCAAGAGCTTGGGCCGACGTTACTATCTTGATTTGTTGCTTCTCTCGAGCAGCCTACTAGTACTGAGTCTAACGAGGTGCGTGTGACAGGTGCGTACACATCAGTTGATTGATTTCGTGTGACCAGCTTCTGGTGAAGTGGGCAGTGTGATGACGAGTCCGCTGGCAGGATGATATTCATGACACGATGCCAGTAATATATCGCTGTCACTTTGTAGGAGCCAAGAACTGGATGATCCAGGATGGTGTCATGCCCAGAGCATGATAATTGCATCCCAGGTGCGCCACATGATAGAGGGTGGCTTGGAAGCCAAAACGGAAACCGGATCTCTTGTCCATGTTTGTGGCATCGATGCGATGAACAAGTTTTGAGGAACTCATCATCTTCCCATGATGTGGCAGCATAGGATGCACAGTTGAGAAGCAAAAGCAGCAGTACTGCCAGAAGAAATTTATGCAAGCTCATGGGATGTATTCAGAGGTGAAGGTGGTCGAAGAGAAGGTTGTAAGTGCTTTAGAATGAGCACCTTCTTGCTTTAACCTCTCGGGAGGATTGATTCTGTGCTTGTCAAGATAGCTACGTGGTGGAGAGGAATTCCTGCTGCCAATAATGCTTGGATGGTAACGTGGTTTCAGGAAGTGAGAGGATTCTTATCAGTTATCTGGAAGGTGCCTCTGTCTTCTTCAATCTTATTCCTACTATTCTGACTGACTTGTACAGGCCTAACTACATGCTACTAGATATGCAATTTTAATTATGTATCTAGACATATCACTTGTACAAGCCTAACTACATGCTACTAGATACGCAATTTTAATTATGTATCTAGACATATCACTTGTACAAGCCTAACTACATGCTACTAGATACACAATTTTAATTATGTATGTAGACATATCGTAAATCTAGATGCATAGCAAAAGCTATGTGTCTAGAAAAACCAAAACGACATATAATTTGGGATAGAGGGTGGTATTTATTTTCGTAGTGAAGGCACTACGAGGGTTTTGATTTCTGACGAGGCTTGTGATAGATGAGTGACTGCTGACTGGTGAGTAGAAGTTCATCTATCAGAGGGAAACCTTGTGCCGTGTTCTAGCTTCCAGTGATTGCCGTGTTCCAACTTCCAGTGATTGCTGTCTGATTACAGTGGTTACTTGCAAGTTGTTGTATCTTCGATGCGATTTATTATTATTAGTATATTAATACCTTCAGATCCGTCCATTTCTATTTCTATTGTTTTGGATAGTGTGTGGTTGTCCAATTTTGAACCCTGATAAGATTTGTGCATATATAGCTGAGGGAATGAACTAATTATCTCATCAATCCCCGTGGGGAATGATCAGTCCAATAGCCCTTAGTTATAAAACAAACAGACACCACAGAAAAGCTTGAGAAATCTACAGAGGATGGTCATATTTTTTTTTACAACTACTATTAACAACTTCCTTTTTGTTGCATCTTGTGTGCTGGTGCCTATTATTGTTGCCTCTAGATCTGTAGCCTCGGGAAAATCCATATAATGCCCCTAAGGATGCCGCTTGAAGGATTGCACTGAAATATCATTTTTTTTCCAAATGCAAAAGTTTTACTGCATTTTTATTTTTGTTTGTAGAGGAAAACAAAAGCAAGAAAAACTGTCCAAATAAACAGCCAGCACCATTTACGACCGACTTATCACTTAACTCACGAATAATAAAATGTGTTTACAGTACGTCTCAACATTTTTCCACACGACTGGAATTCAATGGTACACTATCCCTTTCTCTTTTGTCCCGTCAAAGACTTTAGTATAGCAAGAACACCAAGTCAATAGCATCACAATCACGTAGAGCCAAGTTGATGTTTGCTTTTATAGCAAAGGCACTAAGTCTCGTAAACTCGGCAATTCTTGCATCTAGTCGCTTAGCGTTTATCCTTCTGCTGTTCTGTGAAACTGGCTGCAGTGGCAATGTCAGCTGCATTTCATCCTCCTGCTGCTCTACGTGCCTTAACTCTATTCTTTCTACTCCTTGTTGTCCTTGTTGCAGATGCAGAAGGGCGACACCATGTGCTTGACTGTCCTCCATTCTCTTGTGGTCAACTTAGAGATGTATCCCCTCCTTTCCGTCGGCGAGGTGATCCACCTGGGTGTGGTGTTCCATCGTACGAGCTAGTGTGCACTGACGCCAAGGCTTCAATTCGCATTGGCAGTGGAACTTACGATGTGGTTAGCATCAACTATAATGATTCTACCTTCTGGGTTGTTGAGGCAGACTGGGGTACACAGAGCAGCTGCCTTCTCCCTCATTGGGATCGCCCTGCTTTTGAATATGGGCGATATGGGCCAGGGCGACACAGCATAGAATTGGACCCTTCTACAAGCACTTGGGCGACCTTTGTGAATTGTTCGAAGCCAATAGAGAACAATGGTATTTATTGGCCAGTGGCTTGCCTGAGCACCGATTCTTCTTTCATCTACGTGATGACTGGCTTTTTCTCTTATGCCGCTGAGAATTTCGAGCCCTCGTGTAGTTACCTAGCCATGACTCCTTTGGGTGGTCCAGGCATGATGGTGCCCCAGCCCCACAACACAAGCTATCCAGATGTTGTTAAGTTCACGAGGAATGGATTTTCCCTTCGATTTCCTTTTCCTATTGGTCATGATAACATCAGAGAGTGTGTCGCAGAGTCCATGCGGTAAGTATCTGATGATCATCCCATTTTCTCCCATACATGACTTCCTCATCTAAAAACTAAAAAGGTTGGTTGAATTCCTTGTGTAATCCTATGCAATGGCATGGTCTTGCAGTACTTTCCTTAAAGAACCAAGAAATAGTACAGGCACCAAGGATCAGATTTTGGACATTCTTGAGGTCGAGTATTGTGTTATTGATCAACTTGGATCAACTAATAATGATGTCACAATGGTTCTCATGGATATCATCAAGACAATACCATTTGTGCTGTGGCTTCATGGTACTCACTCCAGATAGCATCATTTGTTGTATAAACACCGTATGTTCAGTGGCTTCTGAAATTATTTTTTTATTCTTCCTTGGATTTTTTCTTTCAGTTGTTTGCAGGTTCGTATTGATGCCGCTGGCAGTATTTATCTTCTTAGCCTACAAATACTGGAAAACAACGATAACAATCGATGCAGTCGAGAAGTTCCTGCGAATGCAGCAAATGCTCGTTCCAATGAGATATGCATACACAGATATCATTGCTATCACTGGCCATTTCAGAGACAAGCTCGGGCAAGGAGGCTATGGTTCTGTATACAAGGGGGTGCTACTGCCAGGTGAAGTTCACGTTGCTGTCAAGATGTTGGGCAACTCCAACTGTAACGGAGACGAGTTCATCAGTGAGGTCGCCACCATTGGGAAGATTCACTATGTCAATGTTGTGCGCCTTGTTGGGTTTTGCTCTGAGGAAACTAGTAGGGCACTTATCTATGAGTTCATGCCCCGTGGATCTCTCGATAAGTACATCTTCTCATCGGAGAAGACTTTCTCATGGGACAAACTCAATGAGATTGCTCTGGGCATTGCCAGAGGTATCAACTACATGCATCAGGGGTGTGATATGCAGATCGTACACTTTGACATCAAGCCACACAACATCCTTCTTGACAGCAACTTTGTTCCAAAAGTTGCTGATTTTGGGCTCGCCAAACTATTCCCAAGAGACGACAGTTTCGTGCCACTGAGCGCTATGCGGGGAACGATAGGCTATATAGCTCCAGAGATGGTATCTCGAAGCTTTGGTCTCATCTCTAGTAAATCCGATGTGTACAGCTTTGGGATGCTACTGTTGGAGATGACGGGAGGGCGAAGGAACGCTGATCCACATGCCGGAAGCTCCAGCCAAGCATACTACCCATCGTGGGTTTATAGCCAGCTGATCCAAGAAGATGTGGGCAGGATCAGTGGAGGCGTTGATATGCACGAGTTAGAGAAGAAGCTATGTATCATTGGGCTCTGGTGCATCCAGATGAAGCCGCACGATCGGCCGACAATGAGCGAGGTCATAGAGATGCTTGAAGCTGGCGTCGAAGGCATTCAAATGCCTCCAAGGCCATTCTTTTGTGACGATGAGGTGGATGTTTCTTACTCTATGTCCTCCGAACTGAATGCAATAGAAGAGGAGGATGAGTAAAATACACTTGTGTCTATGTGTGCTCGTAAGTCTTAATGTATCAGACTACTAAGATTTTAAGGTTGTCATAAGGTCAGGTACTGGTTGTATACTTGTATCGAGAGTGTGATAATGTGATGTCATATAAAATACCTCCAGACGTTGTTACTTGTTAGGTTCATTGGCTGTGCTGTTCATCGTCATTGCACCCGTTTACTTTCGTTCAGTCTGTCAATTCCATGCAGTTTGCTCTTCTGGTGTGAACTGTCTGGAAAACAACGAAGACATAAGTGTTTGTGGAATATTGCTGAGACGACGCAGCGTGCCCTTTTGTGGCCTGTGAGTAATGTCCGACAAGCATTTTACTGTGATTTCAGGTTTCAGCAGTGGATGAAGCGAGCTGATGCCTTCCTGAGGGGCTTCTGAAACTCGACAAACCGTAGCCCGGATAAGGAGGGCCAAGCCGATACGATCCAGCCAGCTTGGCAATTCGCATAGTCGCATGTCGGTCAGTCGTGTCCACTGAGCGCGCACGCCGGGAGAGGAAGAGGAACCGGAGGAGCAAGCCTGCGCTAAGTGGTAGCCCGCAGCCACCGGCTGCCCGCAGCGGAAACCAAGTCCAAATCTGAAGTACTCGTTCCATTGCAAATTATAAGTGATTCCAACTTTTTTAGAGAGCTAACGCATCTCAAATTTGACCAAAACTATAGAGAAAGTTACAAAGATTTATAATATCAAATAGGTATACTATAAAAATATAATTAATGAAGAATCTAATGATACTTAGTTAATATCATAAATGTTATTATTTTATTATATCAATTTGGTCAAACTTAAGATGTTTTGACTCTTCAATAAAATTGGAATGACTTATAATTTAGAATGGATGAAACCAATTTCTAGAGTAGGCAGGTAGCTTTAGGAAGGGACAACGCCGATGACGAGCGGAGATGTGCACCACCTCTCCTGACTCCATGCATGCTCAATTGCTCATGGTGCAGTGGATCGAGACGGCGAAGTGGCTGGCCGGCGTAAGGTAACTTACTTCCTTCGTTCATAATTTCCTGTTCCTTTTGAGTCCGAGAAAGGTCTACACAATATTATGATTTAGGCTGTGCTTATTTTATTGATAGAGAAGGAGGAATTGCAGCAGAAATGTGAAAGATGAAGGATTCAGAAATTCGAGACATGTTCAGTTCTTACTGAACAATACCCCATGCTGAACTCGGAATGAATATTCAAAGAAAAAAAAAACTCCGAATGAATTTCTGCATGGGCCGAATCAGGCCCATGGGATCACATCTCCTCGCGCTGACTGCCACCTGTGAGAGCCGACACGAGCCCACGCCGCGCGAGTCGCGACCTCAGGCGGCCACCGTCGCTCCCGGCGCCGTTGCCCTCCTGACTCCGAGCGCTTCTGTTTGTCGCGCTCGCACCCCGCCTGGCGCACCGACCGCTGAACTGCGCCACCGATTTCCACTACCTCGTAGACACCAACCGTTGAAATGAAGCAGTCCACATGCCAGGTTGGAAGTCTCACGAATTCCCTCATGTGCCGATGTGCGCACCACCGCCTCCGAATGCCGGAACGGGTCTTCCCCTCCTTGCCGCCGTCCTCCGCTCCGGTGAGGGCTGCTACCGCTTTCCGGATGCACTTCCTACTCGCAACTGACAGAGGTAACACTCCTTGCTTTTGCATTTTACGTTGCTAGATTTTAGGACCGCTGTGCTCATAAACCTAGGGCATACGCCGGGTGACATTGTTGCTGGGGTGTGGCTGTGTGGGGATTGGGGAATAAGAAACTACGCACAATTCAAGGGCGGAGCTAGGTCTGACCCTGATGGTTTGAAGTTGAAAATTACTGTACGCACTGTATTACAGCATTGCAAACCCTAGCTAGCAAAGTGGATGACCTGGCGAGTGGCGACCTACTCGGCTGGCTTCGTGTAACACCTCGGGTGTTTTAAATACTAAAACCTGCCATGTCATCATATGCATTGCACATCATTTTGTGTCAGTGTAAGTTTTGATATGCATACACTAAAACAAGTTTACCTTTATGTTATATGTGTTGACTTGTATGGTTTGAATCAAGTTCAAAATCTTTGTATTGATTTGAATTTTCGAAAACCCTTTCCAGCATTTAATTTTAACCTGGAAAACCCCATTTCAAAATCTAAGCACATTTTGGGGTTGAGCTTAAAAGCAAAAGTGTAGAGCTTGTCAAGGTGTACAAAGTTGATTTTTGGAGTTTTCAAATTTGTTATATAAAATTTGAAGTAATTTGAAAAGGCGTTATGTACTTAAAGTGTCCCCTTTTGATTTTAAACTTGCATTTCAAAATGTAGACCGAATTAGAGTATGGTTATTAAAGAAAAGTTGTAGAACTTTGAATTTGGAACAACTTTTATTTTTGGAGATTTTTGAGTTACTATCGGGGACCTAATACCGGGGTACCCCAAAGAGGAGGAATCAATGCACCATCGAACGGTAAAAACTCCCGAGAGCGTGGCTGTATCTCTTGCCCAAGCAAGCAGAGTCTTGCTCGCCTCGCCTTGACCCCGAGGGCTGGGCTCGGCCCCGCCTGGGACGGTGGAGGGCAACTCCACTTCTCTTGGATGGCTGGATAACAACTCACCCGACCCCAAGGGATACACTCCGCCTCGCCTGGACCCCCGAGGGTTGGGCTCGCCCTGCCCGATGGCGGGGACACCTCGCTTCGCCCGACGGTAAAAGCTAGGTTTTACCTCATCCGACGACCACCGACGGACCTCGTCTTAAACCGATATCCGGAGGTGGTTGACTCACTGATTTAAACGTACCCCGCATCCTCATGATGGCGACTACAGGGTAAGACAAGACATTCGGGTCAACCACAGCGACAGACGCCATGCCCTGCACCCCTGCAGAGAGGTACCATCAGGATGTGGCAGAGCCAAGCATCTGACCTCTCCAGGCGTGGCAGAGCCCGAACAGTGTTGTGGGCGCCTGCTATTCATCTCTGATGTAGGCGCCGCCCGCAACCTCCGGACGAAGAACCCGACGCAGACATCGACAACCACTACGTTCCAAGGGCAAACCAACAGTCACCACGCCACCCGACCCTCTCGGGTCGGGGCTCGGCAAATCTCGTCCGACACGCGCGCCGCAGTAGGCGGGATGGGACAATACCCACTTGCTAAATAAAGGCCATGGCACGCACCACCACGATCTCTGACACCACACTCCCCGACACGGCCCGCCATGATGGATAGGTCCGGCGTGGGGAAGAAGGAAGGCCGGGTCCCTCGAAGGACCTTCGCCCTTAGTGCTCTTTTCCTTTGTCTATAAACCCTGCTCCCCTTGACCTATAAAAGGGAGGGTAGGGCTCCCCACTAGAAGGGGGATCGATTCTGAACAGGTTAACACACACACACGCACCACACGGCCAAGCTCCAGCAGAGCTCTTGGCGTCCTTCCAATCATTCCATCAGGGACTTGGGGTCTTTCCTCTCCCAACCGTTTGTACCCCTACTACGAACCTCATTCGGTGCTAATAACACGACGAGCAAACAACAGATCGGACGAGGGACATTCGCCCGAACCAAGATAACCCTTGTGTCCTTTAGCGCACCATCAAGCCTAACACGCATCAATTACAAATTTACTCGCCGGTGTTTGTTCGAAACACCGGCGGTTGGCGATGCCGGTAGGGGGCTTTTATGGCGTTCCAAACCAGGCCGCGGATGGCTAACCACGACATTAGCTGGGTCCGAGCGCACACATGCGTTTCGGGAGCCTCGGATTTCATCATCACGGGATAGGAGATTTGGCATGGTCGCACGCCGCCATCCAATCTCTTCCTCCAACGGCCATTACCATGAGAGGCTTGGGCGTCACCGACGCGTCTCCCACGGACCATGGGAGTCCAGTGGAGAAGCAACATCGCCTCGCCATCGCCAACGGCGATGAAAGATGGCGCGACCTTCCGGTGAGAGACACCTCTCCGAACGACGACGCACTGAGCGCCGACGGCGCGCTCCGTTCGGTCTCCGCAGAACGCCCATGGCGATCGCGAGCCATCTTCCGCACTACGCATGGTTCTAACGCCCGCGGACAATGAGTTCGTGGGGGTGATTGAACACGACACAGAGTCTCTCCACAAACTCCTCACCGAAGAGCCAGAGCCATCCTCTAGCTCCGACTCCAGTAGCGGGAGCCATCGTCCTTCCCGGGGATGCTTTGTGACACAAACCCCCGAGGGACACGTCGAAAGCGTCTCCGGGGAGGAGACTACCCCTGCATTCGACCCCGCCGGGCAACCCAGAGAGGAGCAGCCACCCCGCCCCATGTGGGGGTGGAGCAGCTAAGAGCCCGAAGGGAGGAGATCGCTGAAGACGGGCAACAGCTTGCCCGAGAATACGAGAAAGTCAATAAAGAGATCAGACGCCATGGAGATGGTGGGCGCGCATGCACCACTGCCCAGGCTGTACACCAAAGGATCCTCACCGACGACGGGGCTCTCCCACACTTCGCTCGGGCGAGCCAAAACATCGCCGCCGCAACGGCCTTACTTCACGGTCTCCCACAGGCCACGACATCCGAGGATCGCCGGGCCCGCCGAGAAATCCGCACATTGCTCGAACGTGCGGCGGCACAGCAGGCAGAGAGCTTGTTGTCTCAGCGACGTGAGCTCGACACCAGCCAGCGCACGCCCTCGGTCCATCCCACCAAAGATGCGTCAGTTCACCAAACGCCACCAGGCGTCAGGCGAGACGCTACAGTCCCGGTGCATGAACGCCTCGGCCACAACCACGACGCGTGCAGCACCATCAACGCCCGCAGGCGCGCCTACAACGACTCAAGAAAAGGAGCCAGACATGGCTACCACCCTCGACGCGGCGGACGCTACGACAGTGGCGAGGACCGGAGTTCGAGCCCCGGCCTCCCGGGACCTCAAGCCTTCGGCCGACACATCCTCAACGCCACTTTCCCATCAAGGTATCGACCGCCCACCAACGTTCCTAAATATTCTGGTGAA